GCCCTTCTTCTTCTTCTACACACCCTGCTTCCCCTTGGACCCTTGCACGCCCAGCAGTCTCCTTTCTATTTCCATGTCATCTGTGTTCTGTTTTTTTCCCTCCCTCCCAACACCTCTTTTCTTCCCCCTGTGGTCCCTTGCCTCTTTTCATAGTCTCTACTCACATTCCCAACCACACACACTCGTACATACATTTACATTGAAAGCTCGGGTCTACATATGATACTGTCTTTCTGAGTTCAGGATACTTATAAAATAATACCTTGGCAGTTTTCTGCAAATTTCATTTTTCTCTTACAGCTAAATAAAATTTCATTATGCACACACACCACACTTTTATTTATTATCCAGTTACTTGTTGATGGGCATCAAGGCAGATTTCGGTTCTTAGCTACTGCGAATTCGTCTCAGTAGACACGAATGTGTAGGTTTTTCTGTGGCAGAATACATCTGAAGGGGAAGGTTTCATGTGATTGCTTTTATTCCCAGCGTAGTTTACTGCTGTGTCACAGGTATGAGGATAGACATTCTTATTCAGAATCCATGAGCCTTCCTGCTGTAGCTCAGTGGAATAGTCTCCACTGGGGATGGAGACAGGGCTTGCGGCTGTTGTTAATGGCTGGTTATACTGGGGGAAGAGTCTGTGGGTATAGAGGAAGTAAGGGCTATACTAAAAACACAGCAGAGAAGGTAAGATGTGGGGGTCTGGCCCTATTTCCACCCACGGTACTCACCCTTGGCAGGCATGTTTATTATGTTTGGTCCAACCCCCACCTGATTTTACAAGGAAGAAACAACTGACATATTTTTGCTCATCACATCCTCCCAGGAATTCAGACTTGGGACTAAGAAGCCACAGGCAATCATTGTTGGTTGTTTCAACGGAGGAGAAAACAAGTCAGCGGAGGAGTGGCCACAGACAGCCCGGAGTGAGGAGAAACAGAAAGCAGACAGCAAAATGAAAGAGTTAAAAACAACGCAGCCGTGCACAGAGAGCGAAAGAAAGAGACTGGGGGAAAATGGCTGCTGATTTCTGCTTGTTTTCTACCCGGTTTAGGATTCCTATGAGGCTCACCTGCACTCCCACTCCCTGCCCCGCAACTCCGCAAGCGTCTCTGTGCCTTTAAAGTGAATTTCATGATTTATTTTAAGTCAGTTCAAAGTGAGCTCCTAAAATACGCAAGCAAACAGGGCTCCGGTGAAGGTGTAACAGCCAACACAGCCATTTTTTTTTTTTTTTTGGACAGTACAACTGTTCCTGTATTTACAGCAACGCGCTATGTCACTATGTCACAAAGCCTCATAGTGAAGGCTCTGGATAGCTCACTTTCTCAGTGAGCTCAGGAAGCAGTCCTCCACTTTGTTGGGAGAAGCAACTCTTTTGGGAGTCTCAACTACATACGTTTAAGACAAGCAAGGTAGCATCTCACACTACTTCCCAAATACCAAAAACAAACAATGGAGCTAATTGGCTGACTATGGTACTCACTCTGAAGGAAGAGAAAAACATGGGTCCTCTTCTTTTCTTTCCATTTCTGTGTGTGTGCATGCATGCTGTGTGTTACCATGTATGTGGGCACATGTGTGTGGGTGTGCATGCATGTAGAGGCCAGAGACTCATGTCAGGGATTATCCTCAAGAGCGCGTCCTTCTTGTTCAATGAGACAGGGTCTCTCACTGATCCAGAGCTCACTGATTCGGCTAGTCTAGCTAGCCAGCTTGCTGAGTCTCCCCTGCCTCTACTCTCCCTGGCTACAGTGCCCCCCTGGCAGCATTACATGGCTTCTGGGAATTTCTAACTCCGGTCCACACTCTTGCCAGGCAACTGCTTTAAGCCCTGTGCCATCTCGCCACCCCCTTAGGATTTGTTTTAAAGAGGGCTACTAAAACCTTATGGAAGATCTACTGACCAAATACTCTATTTGAATAGTGAAGACAGTCGCTGTTGATGAAACACTTCCCAGGAGATCTTTGAGCTGTCCACTGTTAGAAAGAGTCCCCCAGCTTCTGTGTAAAGGGACATCTGAGGAAAAGGAAGAAGGACTTTAAAGAGCAGAGATCAGTGTAGGACAAACAACGCTGACTATGGTTGTTTCTCAATGGTAAAATGCGGCGATCACATCCCTTTCCAGCTAACACACACATCCTTCCCTGTGTGCAATGAGGAGCCCCAAACATCCCCAGGGCTTTAAGTTTGAAGAGGGGAGCTTAAATCAGCTCATTTAAGGACTTCCTCTAAAATGGGTAGGTTGAAAACACATGAATTTCGGTCAAGTGGCAGGGGCGCACGCCTTTAATCCCAGCACTTGGGAGGCAGAGGTAGGCAGATCTCTGTGGGTTTGAGGCCAGGCTAGTTTACAAAGCAAGTTCCCAGGCAGCCAGGCAGCCGGGGCTACACAGCGGAACCCTGCCTCAAAAAACCAAAAGTGGACCAAACAAACAACAACAAACACATGAATTTTTAGACAAAACTGTAATCCCCCCGAAGTCTTTGATGCTGAGGCATTCTGTCCTCGGGTGTTGGATTCATGGCATGGTCATGGTACACACGCAATGGGAGGCAGGGGCTGGGTAAATCCCATCAATGGACTTGAGATGAGACTCTGTCTGGTTAGGAAGCAGGAAGAGGAAGCAAGCCCTCCCTGCTCTGGTGTTCCTTCTGACTGACGATAAGCAATAGAATCAGCTTTATTATGCAGGAAAGGAACCTCACAACCCTACACCTCACACTGTACACTTGGCCTGTTGTAGTTCAGCTGAGTCACCCCTGTGAGCCCATCACCTCTCTATTACTGGCTGTCAGAGGAAAAGGGCCACTGGGGAAGGCATACTGTCGCTGGTGGCAGGGAGATGCAGCCTAGCTCAGCCAGCATCCCGAGGAGGCTTCTCCTTCCCCCCACCCCCAACAATAGATCCTGTTCCAAACTCCTCAGTTTTACCCCACTAAGAACAGGGCAGCTAAATGTCTAATGCCTTATGGATCCCTCGATACTTATAGAGAACGATATTGATATTCACTGTCCAATCCCTGCATGATGTTGGCATCTCTGGACATTCTACATTACAGGCTAGAGAGTAGTCTTCCTCCCAGACTCTTGAGCATTTTCCAGAATCAACATGGATGCTGTCCAAAGAGGTCTCAGCGATGCCACGATCTGTCATCGCTCCCCATACAAGGCCTGATGCGTTCTTAATTACTGCACTGAGTTTCCTCTGAACTTGTCGCTTTTCACCATTTCCAGTCACCGGGTCTTAATATCCCTGTAGGGAAATCTTCAGCCTGCCACAGAGTTGGCGATTTTCTGGATGAGTCTCCCTAATTAAATACCACAAGTAGAAGAAGCGCTTGTGCCTGCTGATTTGGATCACCAGAAGGAAACCAACCAGAATGGAATAAAATCACTTCGTATCTTATGAGGAGAACCCTGCCTGCCCCATGATTAAACCGGAAGCAATTAGAAACAACATCACTCAGGAGGCTTGCTGAGCTACTCTGTCTTTGAAATTTTTGATCCAAAACCAGGTGTTGAGATTTCTTGTTTTTTTTTTTTTTTTTTTTTTTTTTTTTTTTTTTTTTTTTTTTTTTTCTATCTCAAACTTAGCACTTTAAACCAAGAGACTAAGCTGGAGGTACTAGACCCAACCAATCACTGGATGATTAAAAAATGTCTGTCTGTCTGTCTCTCTGTCTCTGTGTGTATGTGTGTAAATACACAGATTGTGTGGAATATGTGTGGCATTGGAGGATTATTAATTCAGAACGGTTCCTGGAAGTATATGATGCTAGGAGAAGGAAAAACAAACTTCTTAAGGTCAACTTTAAGTGTTTTTGATAGGATTAATTCTAACAAGGACTCAGCATATATCTTCTTACTTTGCTGTTTCTTTGTTTTGCACTGCTTTCAGCTTGTGGGAATTAGCTGTAGCAAATGGCTCCAGTTCTTGAAGACTGCCAGTTTCCTCTCAATGTTTTCTTTTTCCTGTCTACTTTTCCCCCCAAATGGGGATATTGTCCTCAGAATCATGGGAATGTATTATTTTTCTGATCCTTATCTGCTACCAACTAGCTTTTCTCATCATGAACTTCTGCCTTGGGCAAGGCACGTACCCATCCTGGAGCATTCTTTGTGTCCACATCAGGAGTTTGATTACACTGTCACTATGGTTCCTTCCATCTGGAACACACTGTGATATCTCATGCATGAGAACTGGCAACAGAATTTGCTTGTGAAATGGGGATCATTTGATCATCAAATCCACTAGTATATTTTACAACTATGTTTGTTTTTTAACAATGTTAAAATTGGTTTGAAGATGAAGTACATTATGCAATAAACAGTGAAGTTCAATACCTCAAACAAATAAAACAAACAAACAAAAAAACCCCAAGAGACAAGAAGGAAGCCAAACAGAGATGAATGGCAGATGCCACTCAGCCACGGGCAGGACCGTGAGATGCAGTGAGCTGCTCAAGAAGGAGCACCCATGATCCCTCTTCAGTGAGTGGCTAGCTCATGCAAATGTGAGCCTGGCCTGACCAAAGCGCCCATTTTCCCAGGAGAATTTGGAATTCTGGGTTTTGAGCTGGAATTGATTTTCTTTTTAAAAGTTTAGCACATAGTCAACTTTTCCCAAATACTGAGGCTCGAGAGAGCTGATGGTGCTGCTTCCACCGAGATCTGCCTTCTGCCCTTAGAGGCTTCACCCATGCCCGCAGTAATTGTACTATAAGAACAGGCAAGTGCTTGGACCAGCCGTACTCGCTTTTCCTTTGAGATAGTTAAGCGTTTGCCAACTTGTTATCATCAGTGAGCCAGATAGCACAAATGGCCTTTGGCTGAAGGCCTGTTTATAATAATCACCATCTTAAACATGAAACAAGCGGATAATGACGGCAGTTCTGACTGTCAGTGCAGGCCTTCTTCCTGCTGGACTCTCACTATTTCAATTCCCTTCCCATTCCAGGCCCTTCCTGATCATCGCCTCCTTCACCTGGGATCATGTTCAAGACATTTGATGAAAAAGAAAATGTGTCCAACTGCATTCAGTTGAAAACCTCGGTTATTAAGGGTATTAAGAATCAATTGGTAGAGCAATTTCCAGGTATTGAACCATGGCTTAATCAAATCATGCCTATGAAAGGCCCTGTGAAAATTGTCTACTTCCATAAACATATAGGAATCCTTAAAGTAAATGGAGAATTACTGTTTTTTTTTAGACAGAGAGAAGGGCCTTTTTATCCAACGTTAAGATCACTTCAAAAATATCCTTTTATCTTGCCACATCGGCAGGTTGATAAAGGAGCCATGAAATTTGTACTCAGTGGAGCAAATATCATGTGTCCCAGCTTCGCTTCTCCTGGAGCAGAGCTTTATCCTGCTGCAGTAGATACTATTATTGCAATCATGGCAGAAGGAAAGCAGCATGCTTTATGTGTTGGTGTCATGAAGATGTCTACAGAAGATACTGAGAAAGTCAACAAAGGAACTGGCATTGAAAATATCCATTATTTAAATGATGGGCTGTGGCATATGGAGACATATGAGTGAGCCTCAAAAGGACTGTGCTTGGGCTAAATGTGGATATTGTGCTATATCTGTGTCTGTGTCTGTATGTGATAGCATGAAGGTGATGCCCCCGTGGTTATGCTGAATAAATTCTGTAAATGCTAAAACAAAACATAAAGTAAGAAGTAGTGTTAAATAATTACAGAGAAGAATTGCACATTCCCATATAGAGATTTGCAACAAAGAGTATCTGTGACACTAAATCCATAGGACAGGTGGCGGTCCAGGAACCCCATCACTAGCTGGGGATGAGAGGTGAAAGCCCAGAGGCTGCCTATTGGTGTTCTGCACTACAGAAAGGGCTCTATAGCCACAGCACGCGCGAGTGGCACCATTTCCCTGATTCCTCTGAAGCCCTTGGGCATTCAATGGTGACCTTAAGATCTTGCAAGAGCCTGGAGCAACCTCTGAATAATCTCTGAGCCATCAGAAAAGGAGGGTGCGTTGACTCAGTTGAAAAACAGGCTCTGTCCCAATGCCTTTCCAACTGTTACACGTCGATAAACACCCTTCAATAGCCATATATGGCGTGACGGTTTCCCTCTTCCTCTTCGGAGTATGCCTCAGTCCAGGTTTCAATTCCTATTTCTCTTACACGGAGCTTCTGGCAACCAGGGCAGACCTATCATCAGGGTGGCTTTTGTTTCTAAGCAAATGTCCCTCACCTGGGCTTCACAGCGAGCCTCTATCTCAAAAAATAACACGCCTATAATATCATATGCAAACATCGTGATGGAAAACACAGAGAACCAGGGCCACTGTTTCAGTTCCATTTCCACTCGATCTTTGACAATCTCGAGACCTGACAATCATGCTGTATTTAAATCAGGGCTGAGTGGGGTTTGAATCTCAGCACTGCGACTTACTGGCCATGTGGGTTAGGATAGCGTCTCTAACCGCCGTGCTTCAGTTTTCTCACACAGTGGAGGTAATAACGGTCTTCAGTCACAGGACAAAGGATTCATTTTTAACTTTTTCTTTCCTTTTTGTTTGTTTGTTTGAGACAAGGTTTCTCCGTGTAGCGCTGGCTGCCTTGTACTCCCTTTGTAGACCAGGCTGGCCTCAGACTCACAATGATCCACTTGCCTCTGCCTCCTTGAGTCACTTTGAACTTTTAAAGACAGGATTTCAAGTAGCCTGCACCAGTCTCAACCTCTCCGGAGTTGAGGATGACCTCGAACTTCTGATCACCCTGCTTCCACCTCACAGGTGCTGGATTACAAGTATATGCTACGATGCCAAATTTAATGTAGTGGTAGGAACTGAGGCCAGGGCTTTGTGCATAACAGGCGAGCACTCAACCAACAGGGCTACAGCCTGAGGAGGGAGGACTGTGCATGCAGACTGCTTGCCACAGTCCCAAGGAAGAGCAAGGATACGGTACACATCAGCTGTAAGAATAAGATCCTGGCAATAAGTGAATAGTCACCTCAGACTTCCCTTAGTCCTGCTGCAGCCCGTCCACAGGACAGGCCCCCCAACCCCCGCCCAGCCCACCTCCATACCTTAGAGACTCAAGCTCTCGGTATAGACCAGGATCTCCCTGGTCATCTCCAGTCCTTTGTGATGCTGCTGACCTGCAGAACACCTCTCTTGGGATTCTTGGCTGGGATTCAAATAGGGAAGCTTCATCCTCCTTCCTGTTTTCCATTCCAGACTCTCCAGACTCAACCTTTAGCCCTACTGCAGCTCGCCTGCCTCTTTCCAGTCTACTTCCATTCCCTTAGGACGAGACATCTTGGTGATCCAGGCCCCCCCCCCGTTATTATTTTTTAAGATTTATTTATTTATTGTGTACACAATGTTCTGCTTGTATGTACACCTGCAAAGCAGAAGAGGGCACCAGATCTCATGATAGTTGGTTGTGAGCCACCAGGTGGTTGCTGGGAATTGAACTCAGGACCTTTGGAAGAGCAGACAGTGCTCTTAACATCTGAGCCATCTCTCCAGCCCCTCCACCCCAGTTATTTTTCACAGCCATTCTTAGCCTTTTTTTTTTCCTAGCCTTTCTCCAGTCTTTTGTGACTCCCTGACGACCCGCAGAACAGCTCTCTACCAGGACCCCACACCAACCACTTAGCTGGGACTAGAACTGCTGTCTACCACGAATCCCACAGCTACCATACCTGGCTAGGAACCAGGGTGGGTAATGGCAACCAAAGAATGGAACACCCACCCAGCAAAGACAAGACCAGTGTCTATATCAAGAAGCATTTCAAACATTATCCTTTAAAATGCCTAGATCCCAGCACAGAAACAGAAACATGAACATTATGATAATATGCCTTCTCCAGAAGCCAGCAACCTTATTGGGTTAGGCCCTGAGAAAGGCAATTTAGCTGAAACACAAGATAAGGACTTCAAAATAGCAATTATGAATATGTTTAAAAACCTTAAAGAGGATATGAATCGATGTCTTAATGAAGACTGTGAGAAAACAAGCAAACAACTGAGTGAAATAATGAAAACAATTCAAGACATGAAGGTAGAATTTAACAAGGAAATCATATCACTAAAGAAAATCCAAACTGGAAATGAAACTCAAAGTGGATATCAAACAAGAACCTCAGGGTAAGCCTCACAAACAGATTAAAAGAGATGAAAAAAAAAAAAAGATTTCAGGTCTTGAAAACAAGGTAGAAGAAATGGATAGCCCATCAAAGAAAATGTAAAATCTAAAAAATTCAATGCACAAAACAGCAAGGAAATCTGGGATACTGTGAAAAGACCCATGAATAATAGGGATACAGGAAGGAAAAGATACTCAGGTCAAAGTCACAAAATATATTTTTAACAGAACCATAGAAGAAAATTTCCCTAATCTAAAGAGAGAGAGAGAGAGATGCTTATCAAGGTATAAGAGGCACACAGAACACCAAATAGACAGAACCAGAAATGAAGCTTCTCCTGACCTATAATAATTAAAACACTAAATGTACAGAACAAAGCAAGGCTATTAAAAGCTGCAAGGAAAAACGAAGTGACATAAAAAGACAGGTCCATCTGATTTTTCAGTGGAGGCTTTGAAAGCCAGAAGGGCCTGGATGAACATTCTACAAACTCTAAGAGACCACAGATGCCAGTCCAGACTACTATACCCAGAAAAACTACCAATCACAATAGACAGAGAAAGAAAACATTTCACAATAAAAACAATTTAAGTGATTTTTGCTGAAAAAACCCATCTCTACAGACGGCACAAGAAGGAAAATAGTCTAAAGAGAAGTTTAGCAGCACTCAAGAGAACACAAGGAATAAATAATCCCAGAACAGTTAATTAAAAGACGGGAGAGAACACACACACACACACAATGACAAAAAAACACCAGAAATTAGTAAACACTTTCTCATTAATAAATCTCAACACTGGTGGTCTCAATTCACCAATTTAAAGGCACAGACTAATAGACTGAATTAGAAAACAATCTTTTTGCTGCATCAAAGAAACACACCTCACCACCAAGGATAGAAATCACCTCAGGGTGAAAGAATGGAAAAAGGTATTTCAAGCAAATGGATACAAGAAACAAGCAGGTGGAGATTTTTTCACTATCTGAAAAAATAAACTTCAAACTAAAACTAATCAGGAGAAATAAGGAAGGACACTCTGTACTTATTAAAGAAGAAACATACCAATTTAAATATTACAATTTAAAATATCTATGTACCAAACACAAGCTCACATAAGCTTGTACAAAAGACACGACCACAGCTGAATTACATATTAACCCTAACACAGTGAGAGGAGTCAACTCCAACACTATATTCCTGTCAATAGACAGGTCGTCCAGACAAAAAATAAACTCTGGATTTTAATAATGACATAAATCAAATGGGCCAAGCACATTTCTACAAAACACCCACCCAAAAACTACAGAATATACTTTCTTCTCAGCAGCCCATGGGACTTTCTTTAAAATTGACCACATAGTAGGACACAAAGTACATCTCAACAGATATTTAAAAAAATTGAAATAACAGCCTGCCTCCTGTCTGATCACCATGGGTTTTAAAAAGCTAGACAGCAACAACAATAGAAATGACAGAAAGTCACAAATTATGAAAGCTGAACAACTCACTACTGAATGATTTTTTTTTTTTTGAAACAAAGTTTCTCTGTGTAGCCCTGGCTATCCTAGAAGATTAAAATTGATAAAATTAGAGATGAAAAGGTAGACATTACAGGAAATCAGTAGTTTTCCTTTATATGAGTGGTAAACATATTGAGAAATAAATTAGGGAAACAGTATTTTCACAATAGCCTGAAAAAAAAAACTTGGGATAAATTGATAAGTTTAAAGATGAAAATGGAGACATTAGAACAGACACTGAAGAATTTGAGAAAATCATAAGGAGATATTTTAAAAATCTGTATGCCACCAAACTTGAAAACCCAAAAGAAATGAAAGATTTTTTTTTATATATATGATATACCAAAGTTAAATCAAAATGAAATAAAAAATATTAAACAACCCCATATCCTCTAGTGAAATAGAATCAATAATTAAAAAAAAATCCCTGAACCAAAAAAGGCTCAGGGACAGATAGAATCAATGCAGAATTCTACCAGACTTTCAAAGAAGAACCAATATCAATACTCTCCAAATTATTCCACAAAGTAGAAACTGAAGGAACACTTCCTAGTTCTTTTTACACAGCCTGGATACCAAAACCACCCAAGCAAAAAAGAAAATTACAGACTAAAAATTCATAATAAAATACTTGCAGACTGAATTCTAGAACACATCAGAAAGAGCATATGCCATGGTTCAATATATAAAAATCAGTTAATATATTCCACCATATAAACAAACTGAAAGAAAGAAAAACACACATGATCATCTCATTAGATGCAGAACAGGCCTTTGAAAAAATTCAACATGCTATCATGATAAAGGTTCTAGAGAGTCTAGGGATACAAGGGACAAATCTCAACCAGCATAGCCAGCTCACAGCCAACATTTTAAACACAGAAATTTAAA